CCGGAAAATTACTTCGTGTTCGGGTCATCTTTGATGCGATCGTCTCTATGGATATCCATTTACAATGATATCGATAGACACGGCCTCTTGCTCGGCTCAGAACACATAGGACATTGAACTATGTCTGCGATCTATATTGGTGGCCCTCTTTACACAACATATCTACTCTACCAGGAATTTATTGATTTGGAGATGTGTGTCTTTATGTTGTTTATATAAAATATCAGTATAAATATCTTCAGTAAAATACTTCTAACGTTTATTGAAAAAAGAAAACGTAACTTTTTGTTACTTCCTATTTTGTCAATAATATTGCTCCGATTTCAGTTTACTAAAATTTCTATCGAATATTGTATTACCAGTTTTGCAAAAGAGCATAAATTATAAATTAAATATTCGATAATTTCTAGCATCTTGTAGTTTAGTTACTGGTCATTAGCGTCAAGTTTGAGGCTGTTTGGCAAGAGCTGACTTCGCTTGCACAGGAATATGCTTAAACAATACCTGCTTACACGCATAATTGACGGCGTCAAAGTTTTCCTTTATTCTGTTGATGCGCACACGAATACAATCGATAAGAGTTGATTACATCCTTAGGGGAAACTTCCTCAATATACTGATAAAGTGGTATATCTGCGAGAACAATAATATATCTTACACAGAATTATTTGCTAAATAATGATTAAATATTTCTGATAGAAAGATTATCGAAATGCAAAAGTTTAATATAAACATAGTTTGAATTTCAAAATGTAATAAATGATACAAACATTTGTACAAAATAATCTTTTCTATAATAGCGTTAAAGTTTATGATAATGCTATTTACATTATTACATGAATTCATAAAGGTCATATAAATTCTAATAATTATAAATTTGAGAATGAGCTCTAATATATACATTAATTAATGTAAAATTAATTTAGTTATCAACATATCTGTCAATATGTTTATGATTTAGTAATTGACAAGCGATGCATTTATTTATATACGATTATCTAAATTTGCTTATTTATGTAATCACTTTTTCTAATTAAACGCGTATTTACATTTTAATAATTTTAAAATCTAGAAATATGTGGTAATTTTGTAAAGAAAAATCTTATAGTTTAGATACATATTACATTTTTACAAACTTAATAACATGAATATTATTAATAATTATATTCTTGTAAAGATGCCAAGAGCGTTTGCTAGATTTAACTACAATCACATTCATAGAACTTCATCTTGGCGATCTGAAGCGATGCACATGTGGCATCGCTTTGATATCGAAATCTATGTATCTGTTCAAATCGTTGTTTGTCCGCTGCAAAGTTTATCGGTTTCTCAGCAATTTCTCAAAGTTGCCGCTGTGTTCGAGCGCAGCAGCGTGTGCAGCATCATCTCTGCCCGCCGCCGGCTTCCTCCGTTCCTCGCCTTCTCTCGATTCCGTCGCAACCCCCGGCCTCTTCGCGACCCTGTGGAATTCCTTTGGAAACTTTCCGATATTCATATCTGCCCGCTACTACATCAAAAATTCCAAGCTCGCCCCGCTCAGCCTGCGAGAGTTCTCTCTCAGTTATAAAGGATTCGCAGCCACTTACAATATCAGCTCGCCCTTTCCCTACCGTTTCATCCTTTCCTAGTATATCCACCCTCTCCAATATGCCCCTTCGTTCCTTCTCTCTATTTCTCTTTCTCTTTCTTTCTCTCTCTATTTATCTTCAATGCTTCTAGTTCGTTCACCATCATCGATGTTCGAAAGGCCCTGCCTTCTTCGTCCTTTCTTCGGCATTCGCCTTACTATCAGCACTCGCTTTTGCACCATGGTTACGGTCACCCTTCTCGGCGTTTTCTCGCTGATCTGGATTAACGAGGTAACTTTTTTTCTGCCGACTTCTCGGAGGAGTCCGAACTACGACCCATCCAGCTCGTTCGTGACTCGCCTCGAAACGAGGCGAGTATGTATCCGAAGAGAGGCAGATCCTGCGGCTCACCCTCGTCGGCTGTCTGAGTACTTTCGATTCCTTGGTGGGATCCAATCGGGAATCTTGGAAAACAGCTTGGGTTATCATGTCGGACTCTGATTATGTACGTGAACTGAAGATAATAAATTGCGTAAATGGTATACACTCATATTAGGTTGTTCTTAAATTGAAGGTTAGTCTTTTTTCTCAGCTATACATATTTTGAGAAATCAAAATGTTCGCTATTTCTGAGATATTCTAAAAATATTCTGGAATTGCTTAGTATAAAAATATTTTCTCACTAAGAACCGAATAGGGAGAAAGAAAAAGTAAACATTGTCTTAGCAGAAATTTCCAGAGTGATTTAATTGGCGAGGTATTTAATATCGAAACTTAAGAGATTTTATAGACTTAAGCGTCAAGAGCGTAGATTGGTAACAAAAGTTTGTTGTTCAATTAATTTGTAGTGGATCTCGCTTAAACGGTAACTTAGCTAGAGACCTCATTATCAAGATACTTAAAGTTACAAACTAAAAAGTTTCAACAAATTGGACGGTTTCGCGCGAATTTTTGCCGAGAAGCGTAAGCTCTTGTATCTCGCATACGCGCACGTATCCCACTGTATAGATTTATCGTTCCCGCGGAGCTCGTCGTCCTTAATTAATGACCGGCCGCGCGGAGCTCGTCGTTTCGTCGTGGATTAATTCGCCTCGAAGTGTCTACTAATTATCAATGGATTCGCGTTGCGCGTTCGTCACGGCATCGAAATTCCAGTTAGAGGTGCTGCACCGCAAATCCGCGAGTGCACGCGAGCACTAAGCGCGCGTATGCACGTGGATTTCTCGCTCTTGCGTATCCTGCGTGATCGCAGAAGCGAGAAACAGGATTGACAGGAAGGAGGAGAGAAGCGCGATCCGCGAACTCGTTGAGCATGAACGGCCAATCGTTCGCGGCACGGAAACCGGTTGCGGTGTAAACGTCACGTTCCAGAGGGCGTCTACAATAGCTCATTAAATTGAATAATCATCGAGGGCCCGCAGGTACGCTGTACCTGCAATTTACTTGCTCATTGGGCGCTAAGCTCGAAAGCTCGCTCGAAAGCTCTCTCGAAAGCTCGCTTGGATGTAACGTATCTGTTACCCGCCTCACATTACACTCATGCTCTTAATTTTGGACTACATTAACCCGTAATCCAAAATCGAGAATAATAAGAATGTTCTAATTTATTTGTTTCGTATTTTCATTAGCTATTCGTCATATTTTCGATTTCTTATTATCTAATATTAGAAATTGATTTGTAATTTTTTTAATAATTATGATATCAATTTTTAATATAACTTAATAATGATAATGATTTATTTCTAGTAGAGAGAGAGAGAGAGAGAGAGAGAGAATGCAATTACAATTTTTAACAGGCATTTCCAAGAGATTTTAATACATTTAACAAAAATTTACGTTTTATGTTCACCTTAAAAAAGTAACTATACATAATAATAATGTAGTAAAAATTAAATTAATTATTGTATAAATATGCAAATTAAGAAAATTTAATTTGAAATTTAATAAGAATAAAATGTGATTTTTTTATATATGTATTCTTTACAATCCATATATTTAAACATAAAATAAAGTATTATAAATTGATAATAGTTGATATAATAGTTGAACTATATATTATATAAAAATGTTATTATATATGACAATTTTGTATTAATTAGTTAAAAATTAAGTAAAGCAGAACATATAACAATTAGCAAATATGATGGTCATTATATTATTTCGACATAATCATTCTTTTCTTTTATACTTAGTATCTTTTTATTTATGTATGTGCACAGAAGAAATACAAATTTTTAGCGATTCGCTAACGTGTAATCGTCTGCATTAAAATATGCGACACGGAGTCACGTTCCAATTAATTCTCATAATAGTCATTAATTAGTCCCCGCAATTACGAGAGTCATATTCGAAATTGTAATCCCGATCGAAATTGAATACGCCAGACGTGCGCGAGTATGCGTGAGCGAATTGATATTAGCATCTCTGTGATATAAATTGTTTGTACAATTAAAAGTTCCACTACACCGACACGTATTATAATCAAAAAGTAGTTCTCTTCTCATAATCAATAACATCGTATTCAACATCATAATTTAATTACTACATCATAAGCAAAATTAAATCTTTAGCCAACATATTTCACTTTTAATCTGTAATAAGATATCTAGGATGATTTTAATCTTATAAATTTATTATTTTTAAAATGATGCTTTTATACAAAGTTACTTATTTAAATGACAGGTTTATTTCTCAAGCAAGAAAAAGAAAGACAATTTCTAATTATATACTTACCTCATTTTTGAATATTTAAAAACAACCAATAAAATAATTATATTAATTCGTTAATCTCGAAAATTGTATCATAATTCACTTACATATATTATTAATTTTGTTAAAATTATCAAAATTGTCTTTCGCTTGGAAAATAGATTTAATTCTGAAAATAATTTATCCTTTTCCCGACAGTAACGTATTGGCAATCGAAAATGCACCTCAATGTTATTTTGGCATCTCTAGCAGCTCATTAAATCGAATAATTATCAGCCATAATCGTATTGTATGGCATATACACTTTATATGACTACCGCATCGGCATATATCCGTATCCACGTGCTGCGGAATTTTGATCGACTTCATGTAATCAACGATAACGTAATGAACATATTGCCTAGTGCTTGTAATGACGTAGTAATGCCGTGGCTTTTCTCTCCCCACGTAGAATATCGATTACTTCTATCAATCTTCTCAGTCTCTCGCGAGATATTAATTTCTTTGATAGTATCAATCCATCGCAGAAATCAATAAAGTCTGATTAAATTAGCCGTATAATGAACAAATTTAAAATATACACCTGTAAAACAATCGAGTTATTATCGAAAATTTAAATTAATTCTTTATATGTTTTCTTACATGTTTTTCGGCAAATCTTAAGCAAATCAATACTTAGCAAATTAGAGGTAAAACGTCAAATAAAGATAATTACTATGATGTACATTAATCGTCTCTTTATTCGTCTATATATATAATATGTATATACCTCCGTTGGCGACAATATTTCGATAAGTCGTGGCTTGGCTTGGTACAAGTTGCGTTTCATACTTGGAGTATTATGAGGGAGGGGGGACAGTAATTAATTACATCGACGCACAGGTATGCATATCATTAATCGTACGTATATCGTGTATTTATATAACATATGCACGCGCGTGAGATTATTGTACAGTGTGCGATGCGCCGCCGTTGACTAAACATTTTTCATTTCGAGGAGGGATTTGGGAAGAGCAGCGGGGAAGGAGAGATGGGGATCGAAAACGGTAGTATTCACAATAGGAGTATTTGTGGGGAGGGTAGATCGCCATTCTGTATCATATCTATGTATACATAGTGCAAAATATATTAAGGTCGGCCACTCGTACGAGGACAGCGTTGAGACGTCCCTTTTAAAGGCTAGCCGTCCTTTCTGAATCGCCGATTAATTCTCTCGTTCTTAAAAGAGCCAGCGTGATCGAGCTCCGACGGAAATCGCACGAGCTCTCTCTATCGCCTCGACTCTAATCGTACTAAAAGCACTTTTTACATTGTTTCAGATACGACAAAGTGGACTTGTCTCGGCGCGATATGATGAGCAGAGGAGCCTAAAAGTATCGATATTCGACGCTGGCAAGAATATCGGGTATCGATGCTATCCAGCATGCTTAGCTCGACACATCCGATATTTTTTCACTTTAACAATTTAAGTAAAAAGCGTTGAATCGGTACTTCTATGCGCTCCCATATACGCGACGCCCGTTGAATTCGAGCGATTGGAAATCCACGAGAACGATCAAAGCGCACGGAGATTCGCCGATATGTAAGTAAAACATCACGAAATCATGCTCGAATTAAATGATATGTTAATTTACGACGCAATCCGCGTACATCACTTCGTGCGTCGTCTTAGTTCTTTAATTGCGCAAACATTTTCAAACGTGTCTTAAAAAATCCAACAATTTCTCTCATACTATCTTTACACATTTTATATATCACGTATAAAAATGTATGTGGGTCAGAATCTGCCAAGATTTCGCTAAATAGAGAATTTAATTTATTATGATAACATGATAAATGAGTTAACATAATACATTACCCTTGTATCTTCTTTTCGAAATTTGTAAAATTAAATTACATTGAAAACATGACATGTAATGCATCTGAAGAGATAAAATTGAATTGATACTCTTACAATATTAATATCGTTGTTCTCTATCTGTGCATTGTTTTCGTTACCCATTTTATAAAAATATTACAAATCATTAAATACCAAAATGGAAACGTTTTCGTGTTATGTTTTCTCAATTGTCAAATGATATATTGCACAATGCAGTGCTGTACGTATGATCTTTATTATTTCTCTTGTCGTTTTATCGTGATAAGGATGATTTACGGGGTGATGAGTAATCGACTCATCTTTAAAAAGCGTTGGCAGCTATAACAATGATAATCAACAATGATCAGAATCAACAGAAGTCGATAACTTTGAGCCACGAAGGCTCGTAGTTATCCGCCCTAACGCGCAAAAGGCCGATTTCAATTGCGATTTGATTCTTATTCTTCTTATTTCGACTTAGCTTTAGATATATTTATATATATATTTATATATATTATATAATCCTTGTATATATATAAACACACCTACGATCAACAATTCGATAAACCCTATTCCGTAATTTACACAATCTACACATAGACGTTTTCCCGCTTTCCATTAATAATAATTAGACATCGCGATGTTTTCTCTCACATGGCACACACACGCATGTACACGCAGGCACGCAAAACAGGCATATACTCACTTATTGTGACTATGACGAGGCCCAATTGCGAATAAATAACGAAACAATCGAGCTGCGCCTTAATCGTGCGACGATTGACGCTTTGACCCATTTTCACGTGACATTAAATACGAAATCGATTGACGATCAGGATAGTATGACACTAATATCATTTCCGATGTCACGACATCGCGACACTCCTCCAACTTATACCATGACGATCGATAGCTGTACAGAAATTAGCTCTTCAAGCTTTGATGACAAAACAATCGGATTCATGAACTTATGATTAATTTATATTTATTAAGATTTAACACAGAAATATACGAATATAAATAAATTAAGTAAACCAAAAAGAACAATACTTGCTCGTTATTGACACATATGAATGTCAACTACATTAAAAATCAGGTCGAAGACGAGCGAATAAATTGAGATATAAATATAATAATAGAATTTAATGTTTAATATGCATTAAAATCGAGCGAAATTAATAAGTAAACTAAATTCAAGTGCAATGTGAATTAGCTAAATTTACAATTGATTTACAATGATTTTACGGATACTAGTCTTTTTATGAATTATTTAATGATTAATAATCGCGTGATTAACTATCGCGTGATTAATAATCCTGTTTAAATTTATTAATATTTTATCATTGTCGCGTGGAACGTGTCACCGCAATCGTGATGAGTTTATAGTAGGAAAGAAGAGAATGTGTCTATATGAAACGTGCCATTGCACGTGAACAAAGCAAATTATTAGTTCTTATTATAATGACACTGCAAACTTTTTACAATCATATTTATTATTGAATTATGTAATACAAATACAATGTTTAATTTAATGTCACGTGAAGAAGGGACCAGAAAAGAGCTATTTTATCTTGTTATACGGTATTATACCTCTCTGAAAACGGTGTCGTACTCGCAAACCGTGCGCTATTCTTCATATTTCACAAGTATAAAATATTTAACCTCCATACGCGTTAATCGTCCATTCTACAACGTGACTGTCGGATAACGTAATTGACAACGCCGTCGACAATGAGTGGTAGTAAAAGTGTTGTCGTTATAAAGCATCGTATCCTTTGTCTACCGACGTTATTCATTGTCCCATTAAATGGACGACTTTTATGTAAAAGGACCTGAGTGCCTTTATGTCAAAACTGAGAAATAAGATTCTAAAGTTCTCCCTAGGAAATGTAATAGCTTTTTATGCTGTAATTTACAGTAAAGTTATATGATCTTAATCTACTTAACAAATCAGGCTTACAGGACTTGAGATTTAACTATTAATAATATCGGATTAATAAATGTTAATTTGAAAGTATATATACATTTATACAAAAAGATGGATTGATTCTTTCGTCGCTTAGTTGTTTTCACACATGAACATTTCCAAGACGTCAGAGATTTACTCCGTAAATGTCGCCAACTCAAAAGGAGCACAATCGACACTTGGTGCCATTTATAGAAAAGCCGTCTGAATGGAGGTAACAACATGGATATCTAAGATTAGACTCGGGAGAAAAGCGATGTGGACCCTTGAAATACCGATATTTATAATGAGCCTTTTTAAATAACATGATAAATTTTCTAAAATAAAAGGAAAAATAAGGAAGGCGAACATTTGGCACGTTTTCCTAATCGGGACGAGTAATTATCTCTCACTTTCGTTTTCGTCTGCGCGCCTCGTTATAATTGGGCCGAAATTACGTATAAAAAATCGTTTACCGAGCCGTCGCATTTTCGGCGGACCTCAAATTTTCCGAAAATCTGCATAGATGCATGTGAACCACATAAGTATTATTTGTAAAAGAATCCTAACATTAATATGACATATGAAAAATTTAGTTCAAAAAGAAAAGTGGAAGCATGATTTTTTTCATAAAAGTTTTTTTTTATACAAATAGTTCGTAATTTTTGCAAAAATGAGATCATTTTCAACAACATTTGCTTTTAACATCGATAAGATGGTAGCAATTCTACTTACTATTATTTCGCACTCCCATTTCTTGATAAGCGAAGATTCTCGTGATATTGATCGAACATCCATTATAATCCAAGATTTGATTTTTGATGATCAGGCATTTCGGCAATTAGTTATTTACAAAGCATCGTTTTATCTAGAAAATCCTATTCCCTACTTTTTGCTTTTGAAAAGCATATACCAATATTTTTTCATCGACTTGGGAAATTTTTTTCATGGCATAGAAATGAAAAGTTTTCTCTTGCTTAATAGGATATTCTCGACTAATTTAAATGTAATAATAATACGTTATATCATTAGAACATACTATAAACCGAAAATAAAATTACACGAAACTTCTGTGTTGCATGTTGAAGAAATTAAAAACGACGTAGTTGTCTGAGTAATGTCAAGATGTCGAAAAGAGAAGCTCTGTCATACGGTTCGATTGACATAGAAATTTAATAACAAAATTGCCGATAAAAATATTTCCGTCCAATTGTTCGCATGTTAATATGTTAATGAGAAAAATTTCAATTACCGCCTTGTCATACGCGCTAATATTTTTTCCATAGAAAAATATGGAATATGACTGAGATTATAGCTACATAAAATATAAAGGATAATGGCAAAGTATAAAGGATAATGATTTTTCTTTATAATAAAAAAAAGTATCTTGGTATCTTCAAGGATATATTACATATTTTTAAAAGAAATAAAAAATCATGAAAAAAATTATAGATTTTTCTACATTGTATTTGTAATATTCATTTTTAGATGGAAAGTATAAATGTCTCATTCAAATCACTTTTTGGCAGAGACATCTGCAAATATATATCCGATACATCCTTAGAGCGATTGAAATTGTGAACGTTGACCAATGCAATGTAAAATTTCTCAAGAATGTTCCTTTGCCTAGTGCCTGTTTAGAGATTCGAGGAGTGTACGCGATACAAAATTGTATTTCTTGGAGATATGAGGTGTACGCATTGCGAATTCACACACACGAACGAAAGGCCCAACACTACGCTTTTCGATCGTGTAAAATCGGCACTGGATCAGACGTTGATGCTTATGGCATGGCAGCTCGTTCCACTCGATCGCGTCTAATGTGAAATTTGCTCGATGGAAATTCACGCGTTAATTAAACATACGCGATTTCTCACAGTAGTCATTCTCGAGAGCGCTTCCTCTCCGGTATCGGTGACCACTCGACGTGAACGACATTTGTGTAATGAATTTTATATGTAACCACCTCGCCCATGATCTGACATTTCAAACGCGAGTTAAAAAAAAATGGCGATTTAATAATTATGTCACTGGTGGTGGCGGAGACGCGGCTAGCTAACGAGATACCTCGTTAATCCGTAGACGGATAATCGCGGTAACCGTAACTTGCGATGACGACGCGAACAAAATTTCACGATCTTCAGTCTGCCGTTAACGTTTCGGGCCACGTTGTTGGATCGATGCCATACGAAATATGGACGGCTTGTACATAAAAGAAATCGCCGTTTTTGTAATGCAAATAACGTTGGTCTTCATAATGCAAATAATAATGGAAACAATTTTTTTGGGACATATTTCTGATCTTCAATTATTTTAAGATTAATTTACTAATGAATTACAAATAAGTTACAATGAGTTATGATGATATTCATAATCGATGAATTATAATTTCATCTGAAGAGAAACGAATTTATTTTCAGTTATTTAATTGTAAATTATATATTATCAAAAGAGTAGAATATAATAAATTTCACGTATATCTTATACATAAATAACACGCGAAGATAAGTAAAAGAACAGCAAAATCGACGCTTTACTAAAACTATTTCCTTTAAATATAAAAGAGTCATCCATATTATACTGTCGTGCGCTAGTAGTCGGCTTGTTCCGTTCATGTGATACGCATTGCATTATTTAATTTACATGTTGCTTGTTAATTCAGTGCTTTTTGAGTTTCCCAAGTTTCCATTATTTCTATGTGAGAATGTGAATATTATTATTAACATTCGTTCTCACATACCATATTTAAATTTCATGAAATGCGCTTTTTTTCATCACCGACATGCGAGCCGGTAATATTTAAT